GGCACTGGTAGTAATTGGTACGCACGGACAAGGCTTAGGCCCCTTCACGAGTCGAATATTGGAAGGTTCTCTGTTTTTGTTCCAAACGCCCTGAAGGCCAGTAAGTGGGTAAGTATTGTTGTACCTTGTTGTTTCGATGTTTTCCTGACACTTTTTCAGTTCGGACTACGTTCCGGGTACTTGTGTGGAACTTGAACGAGGCAGATAGTACTTAAGGACTTTCAGCAGTAGTCTTTTCTATCTGAGTTCAGGATTTGACCCCTGATGACGACCAACTGGCGACCGGTCGAAACGCGGTGTCGGGTCGCGCCGCTTTGCATCATGTTGGTTAATTTTTTCTATTAATGGATGACGCGCACCTGCGCTCGGATATTGCCTATACTTCTTCGTCTTCGTCTATTCTTCCCCCTTTTCTGCTTCGTCAGTCCTACTTTCGCATGATTGTTTGTTGAATTGGACACTATCTATGCTTTCTCTAAGAGCTCTGAAGAAGTCTTCGACCTGTGTCTGTTGAGAATATTGAACCATAGTTGTGCAGCCAACCTCTTTCATCAAAGAGATAGCAAAGCTCATTGCGTCTCCTGCCATGCATGAACTTGCCATTAGCACATGGTCCCAGTACGGAATCTTTTGTGCGTACAGGTATATGTCCATAGCTGCTTCCTAATGGAAGATGCCCTCTTCCTTTTTCCCCGTATAAGTCCAAGGCAACTTCACCTTCATCTTTTTGCCTGGATTCCTCCACTTCACTGTCCTTCTCTTTCTTGATACCCTTTCCTTTCCTATCCCCATCATCTCCATCATTGCCTCCATCTCCTCCCCCGCCTCCAATCTTGAACTTTCTTATTACGGCAGGATCATACAACTTTTTGACAAGGGTTGTATCTAATTGATCAACATACTCGTATATGCGATGATCAATATGTTTGGAGGCACTGCGCAGGAAATTATTCCAAACGCCTTCGAATTCCCCTTGATGCAACTCCATTCGATTGACTGTTTGATTGAGTGCAGCTAGTTCTTGGTTGGTGTGGACGAGGGTATCTGTTAAGAGGGAGAGTTTCTCATCTACGGCAACCTGCTTACCTTTCTGCTCTTGCAATAGCTTCTGCAACTTCTCCCCCTCCTCTTTCATCCTTTTCTTTTCTCGCCTTTTTGCCGCCACCATCTTATTGTTCAACTTTGCCTTCTTCTCCTCCATCAGTAAATGTTTCTCAACCTCGTCTGCTGCAGATGCCAACTTAATTATAAAGGCATTTTTCTCCTCATCCGCCTCTTCTGGAAACTCAGTCCTGTACCCGAACTGCTCAATCCAATTCAGCGCCTCCCGCTGTCATATACTGATTGCCCCGACCTGACTACTCTCAACTTTCTTCCTGCGGCTGGGTTCTTCTCCTTTCCAACATTTCTTCTTCATCTTTTTCTTCTTCTTCTTCTTCTTCTTCTTCTTCTTCTTCTTCTTCTTCTTCTTCTTTCAATTCCTCCAACATTTTTCTCTACTTCATCTCCTTCTCGATCTTTTCTTTCTCTTCCAACAACTTCTTCTTCACCTCCTCCTCCTCCTTCCGTTTCTTCTCCTCCTTTTCTTTCTTCTTTTCTGCCAAGCGTCGGTCTATCTCTGTTCGTTCCTCAACTGTCTGGGACTGTGTTGACTTTCCCCGACCTCAGCATCATATGCGAGAAGAAGGTTCGCTGAAACCCAAGAGGAAAGCACAAGCGAAGTAAGGGTCCCCATAACACAAACAGGGACAGGAGTGTGAACATGGGATAATCGTCCATGGTGATCAAAAGCACAGGTACCTACCCTCCACCTCCTCACCACTTAGATCTAACCCCAACTACTAATTACTAACTCCTGAGTGGGTCTGACGGTTGCTGACTGCTGTGTACCTTCCCATAACTTTTTTCTTTTACGAGTGGATTGGTTGCTAGACTCAACTATGTCACGAGATTTGGACCAGCCCAACAGCAGTGACAATAAGATGAGGAAGGTTCCGAACACCAAGACAGATCAGCAAGCAATATGGGTTTAATGGGGGGATGCACTTCACTCCAATGAACGTTCCGTTGATGAAGCTCCACTGCCGCTCCAACGCTCCAACACAGCAGCCATCAGGTATGTAATCACCACTCAACAGGCCCCTTATTCCTCGGCCTACTTCTCTACCACCTTCGTCAGTCTTTTCCCCACTCAACTCGCTCTCTTATCTCCCTCCTCGCCAGCCTTAATCATTGCCAGCAATGTCCAATGGATGCAGCGAGCAACTGATCCGATACCAGTTTGCAGTGGACCTCTTGGTTCAACACCAGTGAGCGCACATATTCACACCACATGCATGTATGAGATCACACGAAGTTCACACTGGAGACCAGAGAGATTAAGACCAAGTAGCGCAGCTTATGAATTCCAACAGGTTATTACAAGAGCAATAAGAGTTCCAAGTCACGAGTGCTCATCAGCGCAAGTCAAAGGAAACCAATAACCACCATAAGCTCTCAGGTAAGTATCTATTTCCCCACTGCTCTTCTCTCTTATGTATCACCCCTCCTACTGGTCTTCTCTCTAGCTATGTCCTCGCCGTGTCCTCTCTCCCTAAATGCGTTCACGCACACTAACTTTTACTCAAGGATCTACTCTGAATACACCAACTGAATGCCTACTAACTATCTGAAGTCTACTACTAACACTCTGCACTGGCGCAGCTATGGCTGCCTTCTCCCTGCCAGCGCTAACACTTCCTCTCTCTCTCTCTCTCTCTCTCTCTCTCTCTCTCTCTCTCTCTCTCTC